ATGAAATATGGGTGGTCTTGAACTCCGAGCCATAACTCACAAGCGTCAATTTTGTATGAATGCAGATGAGTAGCAGGTGAAACTTTACCAGGGCCTGTTCATCATTGGTGTCTAAGGAATCGCCAATTAATGCTCTGCTGTGAATTTTCCGGCTAATGGGTGGAGAAGGGCATGAGTTGCAAGCCCTGACGCCCACGTCACTCAGTTGAGTGCCGAAATTGACGCGCCCTGTGGTGGTATGGACCTCTACAGCTGAACACGGGTGACGGGTGATCGCGAAAGGAGTCTTTATCATTGTTCTGTCTATTATCAGTACTCACAGATGTGTTACAGAGTCCACGTGCACTGGAGTGCTCATTTCTCCTCGTCACGTCCTGACTGCAGCGCACTGTGTGGTAGAAGTTCCCTCGCAGATCCTAAGTGAAGAGCAATGTCGGATGCAAGGGCATAGGTATCTACTTATCATTTATATAAAAGCACAGAAGGCATTGGTGTTGTGGGAAGGGCTTTACTTTACGGGAGCTGCAACCGGTGCATCTTCTATGAACCGCTCTGGGTGCCGTCGAAACTTGCCTCACAATGGCAAGCCTTCTTCTCCCCCATGGAACTTTTGATGAGACCTATGTAAGTCAAAAGAGCCCAGAATGATGACAACAAATATGGAGAACAAAGTTGCTGCCTGAAACTTGCGAGCGTGTTGCGAGTGGTCAGGCTTGAGTGGAAATGCCTATCAGCAGGGTCAAATAGCACAGAACGCGGGTGTCATCATGGTGGCGCCGATGAGGAGATAGTCCGTACCATACCACGTGTAAACGATTGCTTTGCCAGTAAGCCAAGACTGCAGTGGTATGGGGGCTCACGGATATAGTGCCACTGCACAGCGCTAAATCAGACCGATTGTATCGCGAGGTGCACGCAGTTATTTTGTTTTCCATTTTTGGGACCAAAATACCATCTGGATTCAAGTCTTCGTTAGGTCTCCTAAGTCCAGACAGATGCGGAAAGCTTTACCTTCTGTGGCCAGCCGGGATATCCCAGGACACATCGTTGTTTCCCCATCAGGGGGAGGGTCGTGTTTGGTCGCAGGAAGAGGGAGGGTCGTATTTGAGCCGATAAAAAATGTTTTTGTGTTAATTTTTCTTGTTTCAGGGAGCTTGTGAAGGGGGGGAGGGGGAGGGGTCGTATTTACTCGTTGTTAGGAGGGGTGTCGTATTTCCGTTCGGACCTTCTGCAGAGCTTGCTGAATTTCGTTGTTTTTCCTCTTTCTTGTGTATAGTATACCACCCAAACCCGCTTGACAACAAAATTTTTGGGCAAAAGCGAGAAAATTCTCTGGAAATTCCGGAAAAGTGGAAGCTGGAAAAAACGGTAGAGCGTGCTCGTATTGTCCTTGCTATTTTTCCCGTCGCTCGACACACGATGAGGAGGGAACCAGGGGTCGCACCAACCCCTCTAAAAAAAGAGGGGGGGGGGGTTGTCAGACTCGAGCGAAATTCTCATAATGTTGTGCCCTGGGATATCATGTACAACTTCAGCCCCACCACACCCTATGCGCGAAATGTATTCATTTGCAGCTATAAACTGGGTCGTACTTAACTGTTTGATGTTTTTTTGTTGTATTTTTTTCAGAAATCGTCGTCAATTTCACGCTAATGTTAGTGAATGGATGGTTAAATTTGGCAGTCTGTGCCCTAAAATATGTGATTCAGTGGGCACAGCTGAGGTAAAGGATTGTTATCTTTTTCAGTCTCAGCGCGGATACCCAAAGACCCCACATCCCAAAGTTCTGTGATATGGATCAATGCAGCCTAAAAAAGTGAAAACTAATGGCACATTCCGCGACTGCCCCTGTAGGTTAAAGGGTTTGAAACATAAAGGCACGTGACACGATAAAATCTCAGGACGTGTGGTATTTATACGCATAGCGAGACGGAATTCGGCGCCTTTTCCATAGAAAGTGCCCTTACAACGCCCTCAAGCTGCAACATGCCGACTTGAACGCCCACCACGTCCGCCCGCCCATAAACGTCCCACCGGTGCTAATGCTCGTAGCACCTCACTTGCGAATTACAGTCCTCATCATTGTGGGGCGTGTCAGCCAGTATGAGTGTGCACACTGTTGAAGCCGTTCTCAGCCTTTTTGTTGAAACGCGTATGCGACAAAAAGTGGTAGAAAACGAGTAATACGAAGGATATAATACAGTAATGTCACTTGCCCGCTTCAACAACTGGTGCAGAACGACTTTGGCACCGCGCCAAACGCAGCCGCACTGAACCGCCCTGATGAGGGCTGTACAGCGTGAACCGAGGACATATATGAAGCGGCTGCGGTGCTGCATGGATATATGCTAATATACATGCAGCCGTATCCAAAATATTGGTTATTGGCACGATGCCGACGGGGAACTCGTCCAAAATCGCTTGCCATGTAAGTCGTATAGAACAAAGGTTTTTTGCAGGTTTTGACCGTTTCACTTCGTTTTTTCGCCATTTCCCCACTATATAGCACCCTGCTACCATTTTAGACTGAGTACCAAATCATCGTGCCATATGCCTTCAAGGGAGTAGTCCATGCTGATCGTGTGGGCTGAGAACTGGCCTATAGTGTTGCTGTCCTCACTAACTGATATCACCTTTCGATTCCGGCGCGTGGCGTACCTGTCATGGAGGGCGCCCGGAATATGTGACCTTTGCGTGTTATATACCGCACTCATTTATTTCTGCATCATTCAGATCTACGTGCATGACAAATTTGACGAATGCTCTGCCAAAAATGATATAGCAATATTCGAGCTTGCTGTAAGTATGCCAAGCTCATTGGCATCACCAATTTGCTTGCCACAAAGAGAATTTCGTGTTTCCAAAAAGCTTAAGGTAGCAGGATATGGCCGAATAGGACGTAAGTTTGAAGTTCGTTAGATTTCAGGTCAGGTAAGGTCGTTGTTTCACGCCTTTAATAAATTGAAGCTGTTTCAAAATGAGCTGATTTATTGCGTTTTTTCCTGCCGCACGTGAATTTTGACGCATGCTTGTTGACGCACGTGAGCGCTGCGATAAGGCGGCCGGGTTTGAATATATTGGACTCTGTAATGTCCGTGCGCCTACTTTGTCAATGCGATGTGCTCGTCCCGTGGCACGACTTCCTACACTTACCCTCGTCATCCGGGCAGTTGATTAGGGCGGTCGTCAACGGGCCGCAGACGCGGCTGCAGCAGCGACCGCGTGCGTAGGAACTGTTTGCTTAGTCATTTTTCCCTACTTTTCACTGTTTTTGGCTGCTTTTTCCAAGATTAGCAGTTCCTTGTCTTCACAAGGTAAATTATAATTGGAATTTTTATAACATTTGCGAACAATTAAACGATTAAACAAACAATTAGACAAATGCCTGAAAAAAATCGCGAAAAACACACCATTACGAGAGAAAATAAAAAAGTTCACGAGTTTAAACTTCATATAGACAATAACGTAAATAATCTTGAAAAAAATAGGAAATACAGTGAAAATTAGGGAGGAAATTGCTAAATTAGGGTGGAAACAGCTGATCGCCGCGGTCGTGACGCGCTGCAGCCGCGTCGCGACCCCTGGGGTCGGCTGATCAACTGCCCGGATGACGACGATACACTCCATATCCCGGAAATCGGGAGGGCGTGGCTTCACACCTCATTGAGACGTGGCAGCCACTGCGCTTTTTGTGGGATGTTGCCGTTTCGGGATAGCTGCATCATATCTTTACCTGTACGAAATGGTGTGACAAGTGTCTCAAATGACTATCCCACAAAAATGCATCCTACATACATGCTCGCTGCGGATCACGGGTGAATCAGGGAGGCTGGTTCCGGACTAGCTCGTCCCCTTTCCTCTTATTTCTTTCGGCAAGCAACAATTCTGAGTTCCTCATATTTGAGTGAAATACATAGTCACGTATCCCCCCTTCTTTCCCGAGATACGAAGTGTAAATGATCTTGCGCTCATGTTTGCATTGAATCCTATTCAAGCGAAAAAAAAACAACTGGGCCTTCGGGCTAATCCCCTGATATAAGGAATGTCCGTGTCGATATCGCGTTGCCAGTGTTAAGCTGCGTTCATACTCTGCGGCAGTGTCCACCAGCGACCCTCAGCGACGCTAGATCAATATCCGAGCTTTCCTGTTCCTTGAGAAGCTGGTACGCTAGTGGACGCTGGTAGACGCTGGTAGACATTATATTGCTGGTGAACGCTGCGACAAAGTATGAACGCAGCTTGAGTAATTTCATAGGCCAATACGCTTTCGTGGTCATCAATTCTGAAGCTCAAGTTTCTGCGGCCTCGTGTACAAGCTCACCCGATGCGCGTATGCGGCGCGGTTTCTTCACGGCACCGCGGCGACGGGCGGGCGAAGGGTGATCGCTTGCGCCTCCGCCACTGTGCTTCAATCAGAAGCCCCTTTTATGCCCATTATGTGGAAGGAGGAGGAGAGAAAAGAGGATTGAACAAATAGTGAACGCTCATAGGTGAGTTAGTGGTAATGGTGAGCAGAGAATACAGAAAAGTCGAGAATCAGAGCGTATTATTTCAGTCAACAGCGGAACTGGCAGAATGATTCCCTTCGAATGGGACGTGACGTTATAGCGTTATAAGGTCACAACCAACTGTTGGCAATTTGCCAAACCTCAGCTTGAACTTTCGTGTAAAAGCTGCTTGCGTCGTTTTCACAATCGAAGGGAACTATGCCGCCAGTTCTGCCATTCACTGAAGTAATTCGTGATAGTCGACTTTTCTGTGATCTCTACCACTACCACTAACTCACATATGCACCCACTATCTGTTCAATTCCCTTCCTCTCTCTACTTTTCCCTCCTCTTCCTTCCACATAAAAGAGGCTGCTGGATTGGAGCACAGCGCCGGAGACGCGGGCCATCGCCTTTCGCTCCGCCCTGCCGCCGCGGCGCCGTGAAGAAACCGCGCCGCATACGCGCATGGGTGAGTTTTTCCCTCCTCCGAGTTTCTACTGAGTCTCTCGAATGCTGCTCGAACCTGTCGAATGTTCTGACATTTATCTTTCATGTTTTCTAGCAGACGATGACGATGAGGATCACAAATCAATAGGACCTCAAGTAATTGACGTCGCTTTTGTAAAATCAGATGGAACAACAATTACAGTTGAATCTGCTCCCAGAATTGGTCTTTGTAAGGTGAATGATATGCTCTAAAGACATTTGTATTGAATGGCTCGGGAAATAATGCAGGTTTCGTCCTTGACATTCAATATAGAACATCTCAGCCAGGGCTCATCTTTATGATTAAAATACAAACATTACAATGTTGAAATACAAACATGTTAATGCACAGGTCTTTTCCAAACAGGGGCTAGTAGCCCCTTTCCGTGAACCCAGAGCTCCAATAATCCACATTTACAGAACAGTGGCCCTTTCCCTGTTCAGATGATCCGCAGTTGACGAATTCGGTGAAGGTGGTTCCTACCAAGGCTACGTTGATTAAGCCCTGCTTGAACAGGAAGATGTCCTGGTGCTTAAAGCAGTGATAGTCACTGGGGGAGAGGTCTCGCTAATGTTGCGAGTTTATTGGACTACGGCCTCCTGAAACTGCAGCACCCGAATTCGGAATGCTTCAGGGACAACCTCCGTCACAGATCACCAAAAAAAGCGCATCTACTTCTTCTGCTAGAAATTCGGTTGAGGTCATTGGTGAGCTGTGCCTTGAATACTTCCCTATACTCTATTTCATTTATACTAGCCGCGAGCGTTGCACTTGCGTTAGGCCTAGTTAGAATAGAGCGAAGCGGGTTGGCTGAAATTGCTCTTTCCAGGTCCCCCTTTCCGATTGGAGAAATTTATCATTTTTGCGAATAACTCTCTAACTCATCTGGTGCAGGTTTCAGTAGGCGAAATGTGAAGTTTATATCACCGTGACCTCCGTCCACCGTCGGGTCGCAATCAGCGGTTCCCACCTGCGGCCTTCCCACCAGTGGCTGATTCCTTCCTACATCGATCATTGCTCGATCACCATTGGTAGAGCAAGGCGGCCGGACGCGAGCTCGTGCCGCGCTGCGCTCGCCGCCCCCGACAATTGCAGTGTTACAAACTGTACACTCCTTATCCCTGAGCCAGAGTAGGCGTGGCATTTGAACATGGCACGGAACTGGTTACTCGTGGAATATTCCAATCTGGGACAACTGTCATCTTGTTCTGTGTTGGACAGAGACACGACAACAGTTGTGTCAAGATGGAAATATTCCACCAGAAGCATAGACACCTTCAGGTTAAGTTGAAGAATGCAGCCCCGCCTACCCGATCTCACAATTGTCAGGGATCTTGAGTCCTCATCACTGCGGACCGGTGGGGCGTGTCAGTGCGGCTGCGTTTGGCGCGGTGCCAAAGTCGTTCTGCACCAGTTGTTGAAGCGGGCAAGTGACATTACTGTATTCCTTACTGTATACATTACTGTATTCCTGTATCCTTCGTATTACTCGTTTTCTACCACTTTTTGTCGCATACGCGTTTCAACAAAAAGGCTGAGAACGGCTTCAACAGTGTGCACACTCATACTGGCTGACACGCCCCACCGGTCCGCAATGATGAGGACTGTACCTTCCCACCAGATCATGCAAGAAACCATGTGGTGCAGAACCTAGACTGATTTCCGAACAACGTAGTACCTAACTGGTTGAGAACGATTTTATCAGCTTACATTGCACAATATTTCAGGGCGACAGTGGTGGGCCACTTTTTCAAGTTGATGAAGAGAACAGATCAACATTGATGGGAATTTTGTCGCACGGTAGCTCATGTAAATGGAGTAAGTTTGTAGAACAGTATTAAAAAGAAGCAGAACTAATCCTAGAACGTACATTTGGCGACGCGTTCCACTCTAATGATATGGGCAGAGTTCCTTGGGATACCGTGCAGTTCCTATTGGCGGAAGTCCATCTCCAGGACAGCAGCGAAGAGGGCTGAAGCAATGTGAATGCCTCAGAATTTCAAAACAACTGATCGCCTTCAAATATAATAGTATGTAGTAGCCCACAGTATTATTCTAATTTGATAACGATCCACTAGCAACTTCCGCCAGTGGTCAGCATAGTCCAGTAAAAATGCACATTCTCAATATCTCCATTTTTTTTCATTTTCCAAACATTTGGAAATGTCCATGTGAGAAGTGACAAAATCCTCGCGACCAACTAGTACTAATTTCTGAGCCCGCGAACTGCGCGAATATCCGGTAGGCTTTCTCATGAGCGAGCATAGAGAGCTCTAAGGGAACACAAAGTCAAACTGAATGTTCGTGTGATTTCCGCTTGTTTGCACATTTCTGCAATTGAAACCTCAAGTATTCCTGTGAGTGAAGGAGACCAACGGATTTGCGGAAAAACTCACTGGCGAGCGCACGCGTCCCGTGGTCACCGCGGCGATAACGCGGCGAACGAATAAAAATTTTACATTTGTAGGTCAAGGGGTGGGAAAGAAGTAACGAGTGATGACGATCAGCAATACTGGGATATGAAAGGCTGCTTAAAAGCATATGCCTCAAGAGATTTCGCTAGTTTCCACCGCGATTTTCGGAAGTGTTTACCACTGCGCGCTCCATTTACGGACTGCAGGCAATTATGGGCTAAAAGAGAGCTATCAAGCCTTAGTGATGATGGCACCTGTCACTTTTTAGTCCTTCGCCGCACCATTGCATTGCATCGGCACGCACCGCAAGCGCGCCGCCGTTGAGTTTTTCTCTTCTCCCAAGGTCAGCAGACATACTCGTGAGAGGTCACCAATCCTAGCTAATCCCAAATTTTTCTATAACGTCGCTTGACTAGATGGAGTTCTTCTTGCAGATTTCTATGTTGCACCGGAGGATCAAGGCAGAGACAATTTCACAGATGTTCGCCAGTGTTTGGATTGGATTTGTGAAAAGTCAGGTGAACTGTGAACAAACAATTGATATCTGCTTTTGCACAACTCCTAGGAGGATTAGGAGTGTAAGCGCGGCGTTGTTGTGATGAGGTTGCGGAAAGGAGCATTGTTCTGTAGTCGTGTGTCCGGCGCAAGTTTCGAACACGCGACATTAACTTCGCTAGTATGGCAGTGTCCAGACTGAAAGCGCGTTTGCGCAGCAACGCACATTGCTGCGCAGTAAGGTGCGTGGCTGCGCAAGGCGCCGGCCTGCGTAGAGGATATAGGGGAAGAGGATGGTAGGTGTGATTCGAAAACGGCCGGCACCCCTCGATCGAGCCTTCGCGGGCGGGATTCGATTGGCGCCAGCCGTCTGCGGCTGCGTTCGCGTTTATGGACTTGGAGCGGGTGTAGGACTTTCTTAAAAGATCTCACTTCACACCTATCATGCCTCTCGGGGAGACTCGCCTGCGGTGTTGCCTGACTTAATTGCTCTCTCACTAACTCCTGACCTTTCCTCTACTTGACGATTACATCATGATGACTGATTATTTACTGCTGATTTTTTAGCAAATTCAATAGAATTAAGGACTACAATTGAAAAATTTGAATCACATGAAACAAAGATGAAAAGCATGCTAAAATGAATTAAATGAAACAAAAATAAAAAATAAATTAAATTGAAATCAAATTGGACTTAGATGGTGTTAGTAACAAATCTAGACATTTTTACAATATTCTTCCGCTTCGTAAACCTCGTGTTTGGTCCCATACATTTAATAAAAAGTGAACGAATGACTGGTGCCTACAATCCTGTAAATTATTACATCTCGTTTTCCATATTTGCTTGTCGTTCGCCCATGTATTCCCGTGGTTGTGTTTCTGCTGGTGCTAAAAGGGAATCTGAAGATTGCTGAGAACCTGGAATGGAGGTATGTGCAAGTGAAATGAGCGAGTTGTGTGCTGATGGTGGATATGACAATGAAGCCGGCGCGTTAAGAGCAGGAAGCGAGTTGAGCCGAAGTTCATCCCATCGAAATGTGTGGCGTCGTGCGTGGTGTATGCTTCCGGCGGCGGGGTGAGAGAACAGTAAATATGAGGGGGAACGGCACATGGCATAGTAGGCGGGTATACTACTCCCAGGTAAAACCGATGAGGTTGTGTACAACCAAAATGTATAGGTTGAGTTAAAGTGCTATTTTGTGCCAGACATCAAATGAAAAGAGAAACAATGGTGATACAAAGTGGAAGGGAGTGATCTACCGGAGGGATGCCGAGGACTTACTTAGCTACTTAGGGTTACTAGGCGAGGCCCGTTCTTCAGACGGCGGTCTCTCTAGAGTTCTTTAGATTTGTCTAATTCTCAATTCTCTAATTTTCCGGATGTCTCCGCAGTTTGACCTTCTTCAGTAACTGCCGGAGACCATCACGGAAAAAAGGTAGGAGAAATGTGGAAGGTGAGCAAAGGGAGTGTACATGGTATCGTTCGGGATGGCGTCTACTGTGCGGTTACAAGCCAAACAACAGTGCTAAAGATTTCCGCTAATCAGCTCGCTTAATTACTGATTAGCGACAACCTCAGGTGTGAGATTGGTAAAATAGGGGCCTAATAGTTAGGAGGTTACCGTACGTTGTGATGTAGTTGGCGATTAAAAGCGCTGCGGGGCTACGAGATGGGCGAGTCAATAGAGGTTCAATTACATGACGGTGGTGGCAGAAACACATTCAGAGTGTTATGAGTATACTGGCAGATCTGATTTCAAATCTTCTTGTAGTAGGTGTCGATTGATGGAGAGAAGCATCGAATTTTGTGTTCAATTACGTGCCCTCTTCCGCACTAAATGATGCGGATGAGTGAATTTTTCATTGTTTTGTACGGCTGCATTTCTGTTGCTCTAAGTGCTCAAATGTGTTCTTGACGTTTTGAATTTATTAAAACATCTTTTTTCTGACATTTCCTACGTTTACTTTTATTTTTTCCTTCTACTTTCCATGTTCAGTTTGGCTCAGTCGTGTCTGTAGACGAGAGGTCAGGAGTTAGTGAGAGAGCAATTAAGTCAGGCAACACCGCAGGCGAGTCTCCCCGAGAGGCATGATAGGTGTGAATGTGAGATCTTTTGAGAACACCACACACCCCGCGATTATTCACCTTCTAAGCATGAGGCCACTCAATTAAGCGAGGACCCCCATCTGCTAGGGCGACTAGGTGCGAGATGAGCCAGCCTAATTTCCGGCCTATCTAAATTTACACTCCTTCAGTAAGGCAATGAGTTTGTGCACGCGAGTGCACGCGACGTCGCGCGGTTCTAAGGACCAATTCTACAGCTCGTAATCAGCTCTGAACGATCTCTTATTTTTCAGGACTTTGTTCAGAAAGCAGCACTGTGGCGGCGATGGCTTTTGTGGTCGGAACTGCAGCTGCTGTTTTTAATTTGTACTGAAGTTAAGTGATCCACATGTCCTTCTGAGGGGCAGACTTAATGGATTCGAACGCCTGGTTTCGTTGACACTGCATGCATTTATTTTATGCTGTTCTTATACACACATATTTAGTAAGAGATCACTGTTTGTCTTGTTCCTTGCAAACGAGAAGACTTGTGAAGGGGTGCGGATAAGGTGGCACCTTTTCCACGAACTGATACCTTGATGAGCCATCTATTCGTGCAAAAGACTGCCGCGGCTACGCTCCAACCCACTCGTTGTCACACGTCCACTTGTTTGCAATCAAACCGTGTAGCAATTCTCTTTATCACTGTATTGATGACAGATTTTTGTTAATCACTACTTTATTAATGTTCGGGAGAATAAACGCTGGTTAGTAACAGCTAGCCTCCCTATGTTATCACCTAGTTCAGGTGTTCACTATAACGCCCAGATGGGATTCGTTGGAATATGTGACAAGGCAATCGCAACTCGCCACGATGGAGGGTGTGGCCAGCGATGTCGCATG